CGTATGTCATGTATGTAGTAATGTATGTATGAATGTATCGTATGTATGTAATGGTATGTAGTATGGTATGTATGTTGTATGTATGTATGTATGTATGTTGTATGTATGTAATGTATGTATGTATGTAATGTATGTATGTATGTATGTATGTATGTAGTGATATTATATAATGTATGATATGTATGTATGTATGTATTATGTATGGTATGTTTTTTTTAATGTATGTAGTATGTATTTAAGTATGTATGTATGAACATGTATGTATGTATGTATGTATGTATGTATGTATGTATGCTATGTATGTAGTATGTATGTATGTATGTATGTATGTAGTATGTAATGTATGTATGTAATTGCTAATGTATGTATGTATGTAGTAGTATGTATGTATGTATGTATGTATGTATGTAGATGTATGTATGTTGTATGTATGTTGTAATGTATGTATGTATGTATGTATGTATGTATGTATGTATGTATTGTATGAGTGTATGTATGTATGTATTATGTATGTATCGTATAATGTATTATGTATGTAATGTATGTATGTATTGTATGTTGTATGTATGTAATATGTATGTATGGTTATGCTATGTATGTATGTACTGTATGCGTGATGTAATGCATATCTAACTTATGTTGTATGTAATGTATGTAGAGAGAAGGAGATGGGAGGATGTGTATGTATGTAGTTGCAGTATCGTAATGTATGCGCTATGTATGTATGTATGTAGTATTGCTATTATGTAAATGATTGCTATGTATGTAAATGTATAGATATGTATGTACTGTATGTATGTAGTATGTAAGTAGTCTTATCGTAGACTCTATGTATGTCATGATGTATGTATGTATGTATATGCTATGTATGTATGATCCTAGTATGTTGATGATGTATGTATGTATGTAGTGTATATATTATTGTATGGTATGCTCACTCGTAATGTATGTATGTATGGGTATATGGATGCTATGTGACTGTATGTATGTATGTAGGCTAATGTATGTATGTATGAATGTATGTATGTATTATGTATGTAGTATTGTCATGTATGTACCTGCTATTGTATGTATGTATGTATGCTCCTGCTAATCGCTATGCTTAGTGCCTATGTATGCCTATGTATGTATGTATGTATGCTATCGAGTAAGTATGATATGTTATGTATCTATGTATTCACATCCATTCAATACAATCAATCCCTCATCATCCATCAGCATCCATACATCAATCCATCCATACCATCCACGCATACCATACCATCCATCCAATCAGTGACCATCCATCGCTATCATCATGAGACCTGTCATCCATCCATCCACTCCATCCTCCCATCTCATCCATCATGATCCATCCATCCCATCCATTGCCAATCATCCATACCATCATGCATCATCCACCATTCCAATCCATCCATCCATCCATCCATCCATCAATCCAATCCACCACCATCCGCTCCATCCCTCATCCATCCACCATCCATCCATCCAGTCATACCATTCATGCCATGCCATCCCCATGTCCATCCAGTACCATCATAGTCATCCTCCATCATCCATCACCATCGATCCATCCATTCATCAACATCCATCCATCCATTCATGCATCCATCCATCCATCCATCCATACCATCCTATATATATATATATGTGTGTGTGTGTGTGTGTTTGCGTGTGTGTGTGTGCGTGCGTGCGTGCGTGCGTGCGTGCGTGCGTGTGTGTGTATATATCACGTCCGCACGCACGCACACATATGCGCCAAAGTAATCTAATATCACTATTAAATGTGAGGACATTGAATAAACCTAGATTCAAGCCAATCACTGCATGCCTACCCATCACAAACGACAAGCCCCCGCTAGCGTCCATTTATATTGCGAGTTGCGACAACTCGAAATTAAACACTATCTGCTTTTCATTGTGTGAGCTGACAGAGTTATACAGAGCGATGCACTAAATTAACTGCCAGATAAATGATACGTTTCCGACGTGATTAATTAAATTTGGTGTATATTTATGTTTACATATCGCCTGGCTCTACGATTCATTACAATATATATCTCGTATGCAGCTAAACTATAATATACCGCAACTATCCAAATAATATGCATTATGACATATCTATGGTTAATTCAGCTACATCAATCACAGTAACAACCGCGCGAAGCACGCTCAAGCGCCAAACGACCGTATGATTGCAACATAATTCTGTGCTAATTTTTCACGTGACCGCGGTTGCAGAGCCGAGCCCGCCTGTCGACTTTGAAGCGAAGTCACTTGGATCTCGGGCTATGCAGCTAGAGTGGTCTGCGCCAGCCGGAACGGACCCTCTCGGCTACGTCATCACGTACAACTCGACGGGCCAGCAGGGCGTCGTCATCGACGACTCATTTGTCAGCTCACACACGTTCCATGGCTTGTCGCCGGGAACCTTCTACAGATTCACGATCGTAGCATTCTACGAGAGGGGCAACAGTACGCCAGAAACCATCATAGAGAGGACGGGCGACCTTGGTGCGTGCCAGCGTGTAGTTCAGTTGATTGAATGAATTAGTGTAGTTTGTTTAGTTTGTTGGGTTAGTTTAGTTAGCTAAGTTCAGTCCGCTTAGTTAGGCTAGTTTATTTTTTAGTTTATTTTACTTATTAGTTTATTTTAGTTTAGTTTATTTTACTTAAGCTAGTTTATATTAGTTTAGTTTAAGTTAGGTTAATGCAATTTAGTTTCTCGGTTAGTATAGTTTAGTTTATTCTAGGTCAGTTTAATATAGTTCGGTTGTTTCAGTTATTTTTGTTTAGTTTAGTTAGTTTAGGTATCCAGTCTAATTATCTATTTTAATGGACTTAATTTAGTCTGTTTGTTTAGTTTAGTAGATTTAGTTGTCTCGGTGTGTCCTGCGTGACAGATATATTGCTTACAGTCAGTTCCATTTGAGGACAACTTTTACATATACTGTTACATTCCGTGCGTGTTAACGCATATTTCTCAAATCGGCATCTTTTTATACACTCCATATTTATTACTCAACACGTGATGTAGCTGCACACGTGCAGGTAAACCGGAAAATACAAAATAATGCATACTAAATATTATGTAGCTCATGTCATGTATAATGTTTATTATATCCAAAATTATATAATATAAATCAAAATTATAAGAAATTAAGCGAGAACAAAGAAACAACACTTACAATGTATGGTGGCATTATGGCATAGTGGAAAATGCACGAGCGCACGTGAATGTATAAATACGGCGCAAGAAAAAGGATCCGCGCCACGTACAACAGACGCTTTTATAACGCGACAAGGAAATCCGCGAGTCACGTGACTAAATCATAATGTAAACGAGCAGAACGCAGCTAAACTGAACTGCTTAAACACCGCTATAAATAAGAACTGACAGTGCTAAAAATACTACAGTATGACACGCGTAGAAGAAATAATGAGAAGAAATAACATATACTATGGGAAAGATGTTTGTTAAGGTACAAATGGAAAGCATTTGCACATATTTTTCAACGCTACCCTTATAACAACCTTTTCTGTTGCTTACATGGATATACTTGCTGACGACTCATTATTTGATGCCTATTAAGGCAACTATGACAGTATAGCGGCAAACAAAAGGCTATTTAGCTGCTTATTTTCTGTATCGCCTCTCCAGAAGCGTTACAGGGGTTTAGCTCATTAATTATAATTGCATGCAACACGGAAAAGATTGATTAGATGTTTAGAGCCCTCTAATGAACTCGAAGTCGGGCATAGGTAAGCTGTTTTACCTTTGACTTAATGTCACAATATCTTTAATATTTTTTATTCGTGTTGGATTTATGTACACATGATAGAAATAGCAAATAACCACAGGTTGATTCGAAAGTTTTTGTTTGTGCATGAATATGGATTATATAAATGATATTTAACGCTTTGTAATAACTTCACTTTCTCGTGGTCAAGTCTGCAGATTGAGTAATGATAGTAATAGCTGTTGTTCCTTACTCGGGTGCCCTGTTTGTATCATACTAATTTTTCTCATGGGCATTTTAATGATGGAGTGGGCGCGGGTATCATGTTTGAACGATGACGTTAGTGCTGGGTCTCATGCTGTAGTACATGATGGAGTGAGGACGTTTACTTGTAACGATTGAGTGGACGTTGGCTTCAACTTATAATGACAGAATGTGCGTACTAGGTGTTTCTTCGTAATGTCAAAATAAGTGCGAGTCTTTAGTTGTAGTGCGAGTTTTATGCTGTAACCGTATAGCTTGAGCGTACGGTCTAAGTTGTAATAGTAGAGTGAGCGTGCGCGTTACGTTGTAATAGCAGAGGTCCTGCCAACTTCACGATGCAGTGGTAGACATAATACATCGTTACGCTGTCGAAGAGAGCAAGGGAAGAGAGTCGCTCGGAGCTATTTACGAGTCTGTTTTCATAGGTGATGGTCATTATCATGTTTTACTACATTCATTATTTTCTCACGTTTCTTTATTAAACCTTATATTTGCAGACTTAAAGACATATCCGTTGCCACCAACTGACGTCAACCTGACCCTATCATTGGAAGTAATTGACAAGCAGAAAAACATTCGTGGGCTGGTGACATGGAAACCGCCGAAAGGTAACATTTGTCATATATATATATATATAATATATAATCACAATATATGTATAATAATAATAATAATATATATATATATATTCATAATAATAATAAATAAATAATGTATAAATAAAATAAAACTAAAACAAACAACACACACACACAACACAACAACACACCACCGCACACACACACACACCACACACACACAACACACACACCACACACGATACACACACACGCACACACACACACAAACACACACAACACACACACACACACACACACAAACACATCACACACACACAACACACACAACACACACACACATACACACACACGCACACACACACGACACAACACACACACCACACACACACACACACAAACACACACCACGCTGCGCGCGCACACACACACACACACACATCACACACACACACACACACACCCACACCACACACACCACCACACACACACGCTGCGCTGCCCGCCGCCACACACACGCGCCGTGCGCGCCACACACACACACACCACACACACACACACACACACACACATATATAAATATATTACTTTTATATATATATTTATACTGTCCAATCACTTTCACCAATCACTTTATATTTCTAATATCAGATGCCTGATATTATCAGAAGTAGATAATAGGGAACTAGTAGATCCGTATTAACTACTTCTGATATTATGTACTCCTGTCCCATTATCGATAGGAAAATCTCGGCAACGTTCGGATAAGAAACCCCCGTGATGATGGAAGGCGCTCATTGTAAGAAAATGAATGTGTGATGCTTAGTTAATCTGTCTAATCGAGTAATACAGCAGAACACTGATAGTGCAGCAAGACAACGACACAACGACACGCTAACCTATCATGACATTGTAGCGAGGTCATTCGTAAAACACTTTGTGAAATCCCTCTGCTGCGAGAAAAGTAAGAATTTTATGAAGACGGCTTTTCTTTTTTCAGATGCGACTACCCTCGAATACTACGACCTGACGATAATGCCGGCAAAGAGTAATACTATATGCGAGGGCACAATCTACCACCGCAATACGAACATCTCTAAGGTACACTCATACATAGTCATCGTACTTAACGGAGTTGCTCCCGTCGTAGTGCTCTGGATCGATCAAATTGATTGCCCAAGCCCCTGTTATCTAGCCATTAGGAAAACATCTAGCGGCATGAACTCTGAGTAATGTCTTTTTAACGGTTTCTCGTTTGGCATCAGCGTAATAGCAGAAAAAAACACTTTCGCCCTACGAGACCAAATATACAATTCTCTTATACCCTCTGAGTTTTGACAAAAGATCTCGATAATCAAATAGAGCGACACACATCAAATAAATAAGCATTGAGATTAAGTGTTACACAAAAGGTTTTTGGCCATGGTGTGTGTGTGACTATACATACATATATTATCATATCGAATAGGGATAGCGATGCTCAGAGATATGCTAGCATACAGCATTTCAAAGACGGCACCTATATTTCTGACCATGTAGTTGACACATAATTGTATCCTCTAACGAAAGTTTTTTACTCGAGTAAAATGAATGAAAACACCAACGTGGCATTGCTGTGGATGATCGTTCTACAGTTTGTCGCCCCAGATAAAATTCTGGGAAAGAACCAGGGAATAGCCCTGATAAATGTGAGGGTGAAACACTTTGAAATGTCTTTTTAACCTCACGAATCGCACAGATCGATATAGTTGAAGGACGGTTATTAAATTGCTAATGAGTTCAAAATGGCCACTAGAGCATTATTAATTACACTAATCGTTTCGTAATTATGTCTATAGTTTTGGCGGGACGAAGTCGAAAATGGCGTCTGCAAGCATTTATCATTTCTTCAAAATTATCGCTTGCTTCCTATCAATAAAGCTGCTCGGCTGAGCATGTTAATCTAGCTGACGCCCCCTGGTAGACTGCACTAGCTCTAAGTGACTATATAACCAAGGAATTGGGTGAACTTTCTACACTAGATAGATACGCGTGTACTAAGCTCAACTGCATGGAACGTGGATACGTATAGACGGCAGGCTGCAGTTGTTATACCGACTGGGTGGTCATACCTATGTATGCCCTAGCTACAGCGATTAGATGCCCATAGGAACTCCGGAAATGCCAATAATCCCGCGGAATTAATTCCTGCCTCGAAAATTTATTATCTGTGCACCAAGCGCATAGATCATCTAGCAGTCATCCTACATCCACACCTCACGTCTAAATGCTGCAGAGCAATCAATTTGACGCAGAGAGGCAGCTTCGCGTTCTCTGTGTAATCTAAGTTAGAATGACAAATGCTCGCTGGTGATTGCAATGATTAAAATGGCGCGGGTGACGTTTATATAACGATAGTTATACATATCAATGATGCTGCGCTGTCATAGTGGCGAGAGATCACGCGCACAACAATACGGGGCGAACATTCAGAAGTAACAGCACCATCTAGTCTTCGCCTCCTCTCTATCCCCCTACATCCCTACCACCTTCCCCCTCTCTCACTCACGTTCTCTCTTCTCCTCTTTCCTATTTCCCTCCATTGTCTCTTTCCTGCTTAATTCCCCCGCTTCTGCTTATTTTGCTTTTGCTCTCTTTCCTCTCCCTCGCACCTGCTTCTTCCCATACACCACTGCATACTTCATTTTCCTGTCCCCGTGATATCTACACCAATATGACAAGCTATCGCCGATAATCAAGAATGAAATTGTCACGGACGGGTGTAACGCTAGGTATACGTGACAACCCGCGCTGCATGAGCAGCATTGTCTGTGATGGAGCCTTGCCACGGCAACGATGGCACACAAGGGCACAACGACAGTGCGATTATGATAATAGCAGCATCTTCCAGATTCCGGATGATTGGCGGCGTCTGTGATTTCGCACGCGGAATACAAACGCGGGAGGTTAAGTTGTTGCCGACGGCGCGCCGACGTTGCTGCATATATATCGGGCGCGGGCGCCACGCGGGGGGACGAGGTAGAACACGTGCGCAGGCCGTCATTAATGACCTCATTACAGTCGCCGACGCGTGGTTCAGCCGCACGGCTGCAGTAACTTCCTGACTTCCTCTCCTCTGCATGAGACCTCGCATGCAGCATGCAGCACGCAGCAGCACGTCCCCGCAGCTGCTGTGATGACACGGCTCACGGCAGACAGGGAGACAGAATGTGAACAAAAGGGAAAATGGAGGGAAAGGTGGAGATAGTAGGGGGAGGGGTAGTAGGGAAGGAAAAAGAGCACGAGAAGAAAAGAGGGAATAGAGGCAGAGAGGGATTAGGAAAAGAAAAGGGAACAGGAAGGTAAGGGGTGGGAGCAAGAGGGAAGAGAGTAGAGATAGAGCGTAGAGGGCGGAAGGGGATAGGAGGGGAAGGGTATGATATATATATGAGTGTGTGTGTGTGTGCGTGCGTGCGTGCGTGCGTGCGTGCGTGCGTGCGTGCGTGCGTGTGTGTGTGCGTGTGTATGGTGTGTGGGTGTGTGTGTGTGTATGCACAATTACATGATGCGTGCATGATGATGGGGCGCGATCCTTCATGATAAAGTTAGAATGTGAAGCGAAAATACGCTCGCAACGTCAAGAGCATGCAGCGACAATCGCGTCGGTGAACGTCTCACGATATTACTGTTGCACGCGATATGGGCTGTAATGTGATTTCCAGTGATATCCGTTAATTGCAGACGCAGACATCTTATCTCATCCCGCACGATGCCGAGTCCACCTTCAAGCACTGGGTGATTACGTATGGCTGTGAGTACAAGATCGAGGTGAGTTGAGAGGTTATGCCGCTACCTCGAGTTTCTCTTCACACCTTCCTTTATCCCATCTGGCGTCACCCATCCTTCCTATACTCCTCCTCTTCTCCAGTCCTTCAGCTACATCATCCCCTTCTACTCACTCCCTTTCAATTATCAGAGCCAGATTGATTGACCTCAGCAGAGAATGCGTAATTATCGATTGTTCAGACTAATTGAATGCTTTATGTCGCTTTAACACTAACAAATGCTCGCATATTGAAACTACATATGCGAGTTCAGGACAAATGAATCAGCAAAGGCGCACAGAGCAAAGAATAACAGAGAATGAAACGAACGAGAAGATTGAATGTCCAGCCCCCCGAGATGGTAATCTGATCATGATCTCGGGAATACGCAGCCAGGGGGCATAAATATTAATGACAGCCGAACGATGTTCAATTATTATTCAGCGGATCGTTAGAGTCAGACTGACTCGGCAGTAAATTCGACTTCCTATAACCAATGACTATAGATCTCGTTCCCCAGCCCGATTTCCTGTTGTTTCTGACAGCGCTCGAGAAGACGGCATAACAGTCTGCTATATAAGCGAGTCGATTTTGAACTCGGGAGTTACAGCAAAACCAGCGCCGTACATCGACGTGCTCGCTCGATGCGTGTGCGTGGGGTTCCATCGCATCGTTTGCAGCTCGAGATTTAAAAACCCAGCCGCTCTTTTAATTGTACGCGCTTAGCTGCGCGTGGTCCGAATGATTGCCTATTCATGATCGGCGTGCAAAGTTGATTGCGGCGCAAGGACGCAGCCTGCCTATCTGTGTGTACAATATACGCCTACAGTATTTTCTCGTGCTTATTGTCATGACTAATTGCTATATAGTCTGATCCGTCAATGCGGCTGGAACTTTTCACTGTGCCGTAGCTTTCTGTACAAGTGACGTTCACGCATAGCCTGACAACATAAAAAGGCAGAACAACAGCTAGCATTGAAGACACCATAGCAAGCATACTAGACATAGGAGCCAGTATAGCAGGCGACAAGAGCAGAAAAATAACCAACAGCATAGCAGACACCATATCGTCATGCATGGCACGTCTGCATTCGTTGTCTCTCGGTTAAACTGAGAGTAGCCGGGAATAGAAACATTATAGTTTCAATATGAGCAAGTGAGCTGCAACTACTGTTCGCGATAATATTTAACAAAATGTTCTACTAGCACGAGTAATACATGTTTAGCCCTGTGACCTTTATCCGGAGAATAGCAAGGTAAAATTATGTAAATTTCTCAAAAATCATTCGAGTCGCCCGTCGTGGTAAACGTGATTGATTTACAATTGCTCGATTTGATCGATTGTTTGATTGATCAATCAATCATTGATCAATTGATTATCAAATGTTCAATCAATTGTTGATCAATCGTTGTTCGATTGAACAATCAATCAAGTAATCAATTGTTCGATCAATTGATAGATTTAATCGTTTTGATCGATTGATGTACAATACGACGAAAATTTGTTGGTGACGTCGCCATCGTCGTCATCTTCATCGACATCGACATCATCATTATCATCGTCGGCGCCGTCATCATAATCACCATCATCATCATCACCATCATTTTCATCATCATCATCATCATCATCATCATAATAATAATAATAATAATCATCATCATCATCATCAGCATCACCATCACCATCACCATCTTCTTCTTCTTCTTCTTCTTCTTCTTCTTCGTCGTCGTCTTCTCGATTATTTTTTCTTTGTCTGCTTCTCCTCCCCATTCTTCGCCTCATCCTCTTGCTCCTTCTCCTCATCGTCGTCGTCCTTCTTTCTCCTCGTCATCGGCTTCTTCTTCTTTTAAATCGTCTTCGTCTTCTTGTCCTTAATGTCTTCCTTTTTCTTCGCATTCTTCTCATTCTTATTTTCAAGCTTCTTCTTCCTGCTGCTCTTCCTCCTCCTCTTCCTCCTCCCCTTCCTCCTCTCATCCTCCTCATCCGCCTCCTCCTCCTCCTCCTTCTCCTCCCCCTCTTCTTCTTCTTCTTCTTCTTTTTCTTTTTCTTCTTCTTTATTCCCTCGTCGTCGTCATCATCATCATCATCATCATCAGCAGCAGCAGCATCTTCTTCTTCTTCTTCTTCTTCTTCGCCTCATCATTCGTATGCTTTCTCGCGCCACTTGGGAGAACAACGCGCCGCGTATGTGAGACTAACAGACTGATTGTGCGCGACAGTACGTGTGCTGATTACGCGCAACGTAAGTCTGCGCTTCGCCAAGACCTGAGCGACCCGAATGATGCTACTTATCATGCCCTCGTCAACCATACGTCGGCTTTGTTAGTTAGGAAAACAGAACGACGCCGTTATGGCAATTTATAGTGCTTGTTTCATCGAATCCTTCTCGGTTGATCGCCGTGACTGCACCGGGATGAATTTTGCGGGATTTTGTCAGTTCCACACGAAGATGTTGCCATATTTGCACGCGCTTGTTGTCCGCGGGCGGTATTTGCGTTTTTGCCGTATGTAGCATCGGTAACGTGCGCAAACCTTTTGGAATTAGCCCCGAGTAATGGCGAGGCGGGGAGTAGAAATGATAGGAGTCAATGAAATTGCGTTCGCTGTTGGGAATAAGTGTGCAGAATGAAATGGGGGGGGGGGGAAACGGTGCATCGTCGAGTAACTTCTCGGATTTTCATTCGTCCGATATGTAATAGCTTTGCTTTAAACTCCATTTCGGTTGACACCCTGCTACAACCCACGTGAGAAATGTCTGCGACTAAAATATCTTTAAAGCGTGAGTGCTGCGTACAGTGTTGATATAGGACAATGGTATGTTTTTTAGGGAAGTTCGCGTAGCACAGACATGTCACGATCCGCCTGCTATGACAGCAAATGCCACTCAACGAAATCGCTTTCGGCTTGATGCCATTGTTCGTAGTAACGATGGTGGCGATAGGCGTTAACTTCACATTAATCGTCGTCACGTCTCATGAAAGGGTTTGCGTGTTTTCTTTCGCCGCACATTAGAGAATGTGACGCCTCCCGCCCCGTTACGGCTGTCATTTTGAAATAAAGATGGCCGCTGACGTGTGAAACGCACGCGAAACGCTTGTTCGCCACCGAGCGATTAGCTGCCGTCACTCTAGAATTAAATGTGAATATTTATTATTATTATATTGACTTTGGTGCGCACGTATGCATGGTAGAGGACCAGGTCCTGGAAGTTTAAATGTTAAAAATAAGAAATTTGGATAAACTACAGAAGACATGCTGATCAAATTCATGCGTTTATACACTAACCTTTCTCGGTTTACAGATAATTGCTGGTTATAGGTTATTTGATTTAAAGGCCATAGAAATAATATACTTAGACATACATTTATTCATACATTTCCATGGTTACAGCCGTCGGATAATAATCGTAAACAAATAAACCCTTAACTATACTCGAGAAAAACTTATAATAAATTATTGATCTCGTAATTTATGACGAAATCATCCCCCAAAACGAAAACATTGCACCAGTCAGAATCGTTTCTAAATAGTTAATTATTCATATCGTTATAATCTAACGCACGCAGGTTTGGGGAATGCGCAAATGGATTTGACTATTACGCAGCACATTTCCTTCCAACGCCTATCTTGAAATAAATGACTAGGAATAACGTCATTCGTTTTCATGTTTGCTGTTTTTCGTTTGAATGTCTTTCGTTTTTGCCCACATTATCTATTTTATAGGAAAATAAACGCCATAAGCAAACGCAGTTAAACAGAAGCTTCTACCTTAAGAATATAGTTGACGATTACCTCGCGTTCGCAGATTCCATAAAACACATATTATATCACTCCATGATATAAAACCATTTTATATACTATTATATAATATTTACTAGAAGTAGTATCGTATGGTGTCAACATCACACCTACACAGCCCCACAGGCAATCCAGTTGCAAAATAGTTCGCCACATTTATTTATGGTGACATTCCTCCCGGTATCCTTGTCATTGGACAGTTTAGCACCAGATGATCAGTGCTTTGAGGGGCACCATGACATGCCGGTCACGTTGGTCCCCATCGGTGTAAGTTCACTGCATGTTCCGATCTCAATCTGTTCGTTGTAGCCCACTGTTTTCGTGATGCTGAGTTGAATCCTAGCAGTGGCAGCGTGGGATTATCTATTAAGCCTCCTCTATTAGGTGTGTTATCCTGCCATTCCTGGCTCCATGCTGCGACGATATTGAAGTTGAGTTGTAAAATGGTACAGATTCTGTGGATTCAAAGCCTCGCTTATTTTTCGAGTCTACCGGGCCTGTCTCAGCAAGAGCGCGGTCCTTTTTATCCTGGGCAATGGCCGAGCAAGTATGATATTTTAACGTTGTTCTTCATTACCGTGGAGGTGTTACCTCGTCCGGGGGCCGGATTTGGACCACTCATCGTCTGACTCCTCTTCCTTGGTCGGTTCAGAATGGTTACACCTTTGCACCCTAACCCTTGGAGTCACAGGAGAACGCAAGCCCCCATGCACACTACAGCAACGTGGAGATCAAGGTCGTGGGGCATAGTATTTGCTAATTAAGATTACCCAGTTAGCGTAAATTATCTAGAGCAGCTAAAGGTCCAGTTGTTTATGTGAAAAATTTCAAGTGTTTTCTGATAATAAAATTGTTACTATTATTAGCATTAATATATAAAGTTCAATATTATCGTATTCTTCACCATCACCTTTGAAAATTATTGTTTCTATTCGGAAGATGACGCTTGTCAAATTTGCGCCTAGTTCTTCGGAACAACTGAAAATGCGGACAAAACCCGTCTACTGCTAAATTGCTGACAATGATTTTCCACGTGAGTGAATGTAGCGTGTTTGCAAATCACAGTTTAATGGCATAGATAGTAACTGTTGAGAGACAAGTGTTATTAATCATACTTAAAACACATAAACAACAAGAATGTATTTAACAATATAAATATATAGAAATATCCCACAAGTAATTTTGTCGGCATATAGAGATTCAAGAAGAGTGTCGTGGATTTAAGAAATTGCCAAGACTGTAGAATAATTTTTTCTAAACCCAAATTGATTTGGTGAAAGTATATTTGCACTATTTGCATATCCTTGACACACAGTGGAGTGACAATGAGAGACTGTTTTCTTGGCTGTCTCTAAACGCATGTCTCTGATGCTGCCAGCAAAAGATCACATTGAGCAACACAGCAGCCATCTGGTTGCAAGTTCGCCCAAGTCTGAAGTGATTTACAACACAGGTGTTATAGAATAAAATTTAAAGATGTTCTTTTCCCCTACATTACATAAAAGCACCGAATAAATATTAAGACATGTTGGAGATAATACATACTGTATTACAGTGATATGATTTATATAAAGAATACCATATCATCACAAACAAATTGGAAGTCCTAAACCTTTAGCCAGGGTTCTAACATAGGTATCTTTCTTTAGCAATAATTCATAGTATTTCGTGGAAACGTATCCTTTCCATGAAATAATATTTGTAATTCTCATATTAGTTGTTTCATTACGAAATAAATTCAAAACTCTGCCAAAGTTAAAATTATA